CCTTGGGTGTACACAACTGGGGGGAGGATTCTCCAAAAGATAGTTAAACTATGATTAGGAAGAATTAGGATGGGAGAATAACCAATAAACACAGGTGGTCCCTAGAGCTCATGCATTTTTAATTTTATATATTAAGTAACAGCGTAACAAAAATAATCTAAGTCAATAGCAGAGGTATGACTTGTTTTTCTTTGAAAAGATATGGTATATTATTCAAGTTGGAAAAGTACTATCTTAAATCCATATTAAAGAAATATTTTCTAGCTGCCTTACAATGAAGTCAGCACCTCACCATCATGTGTAATAAATCTTAAGAAATAATACAAGACCCTTTACTCAGTTATATGGCTTCAAAAGGTCACCAGTTAATGAAAGGCCATACTTAAGCTTTGCTTTGTCTACTAAATGCTCAGCTAAAGACTATTCTCTTACTCATTTTCTATATGGTGGAAGGGATTGGTTTATTTCTTCTACTTTTTTTTTTGAGTTGGAGTCTCACTCGGTCACCCAGACTGAGTGCCGTGGCCGCTCCCGGCCACTGCAGCCTCGACCTGCTGGGCTCCGGCAATCCTTCCGCCTCAGCCTTCCGAGTAGCCGGAATTACAGGCACGCGCTACCATGCCCGGCTGATTTTTTATTTATTGTGGAGATGAGGTCTCGCCAAGTTGGCCAGGCGGGTCTCGAACCCGCGGGCTCAGGCAATCCACTCACCTCAGCCTCCCAAAGGCGTGGGATTACAGGCTGAGCCACGGAGCCGGCGAGGATGTCTTCAGTTAAGCATGAATAGATGCCAGCTACTTAGAAAGCTGAGGCGGAAGAATCGCCTAAGCCTAGCACTCCAGCCTGGGCGACAAGAGTAAGACTTCAATTTGAAAAAAACACAAAAAACCAAAGAATGAATAGATGGGTTAGGTGAAGCAAAGACTAATAACCAATAGTGGGAAAAAGATGGGGTGCAGATTATATAGAGAATTTAGATGGTGAAGCTAAAGTGATTGTCTTATAAAGAAAGGGGGTTTCAACAGAGTATACAACATAAAAACAAATAATATTACATATCAGCAGGAAATTGGTGTGATCTTTGGTTTGTTGTAGCAGTCACTAGCTAAATGATATTTCTGAGCCACCATGTGATGCAAGCAACGACATCAAATTCTTCCAACTTCCTCATTAAGTTGATAGTCATAGGTAAATTTTAATCTCAATAAACTGAGAACTCCTCTTATTATTGACATTCATGGTGGTGAATACTCTGTTGGCCTGCTCTGAACTGTCAGCACTTATTTAGATTTTTTTCTAATCCGTATAACACTGTCTGCAACTTTATATATTTTATCTTTAGTGGCAATTCATTTCTTGAATGCTATAATTTTATTTTGGTTTACCTTCAATTTACAGAGCTTTTCAAATATTAATTAGCCAAGTTCCAGGATTCAATAACTTGAACAAACTTAAAAAATTTATTATATTTTCACTTTTGTTACCAAACCACAAATGGATTTTCATAAAATTTATTAGAAAATCTATTAGTCTAAGTTGCCACTTTGTTTCCAATATAATGTTTCAATAAACTTTTTCATTTTCAATTTACTTGACTCAGTTTTGTATGTCCAATTTTTTATGGTGAATTGACTGATCTGTCAGCTTTAATAAATAAACCACTTCTTTCTCATAAAGTATTGACATCTCTGTCAGAGTATCACTTATAAAGCCAAGTCTCTTTAAAACTTTTCAGTCTTCAAATGTTTAACTATTTCCATTTTACAGTTTCTCTTAAGTGACTTAATACATTTCGGTCAGATTTACAACTACTTTTACAGCTTACCATTAGTACTACCTCACCCACTGAGGTTCAAATACCTTCCAGTATTCATTACAGCAACTCTGAGACCTTTGGGTATATTATTTTTTCCTTTACGTACAATGATAAACAGAATTCCAAGATAATAAACTGGTCATTCTACTAAAGCATAGAGTGTTTTATAGAGAATGTACATGACAAGGCAAATCTCTCCCAGACATTTCTTTCACAGGATGCTCGTGAATCAATCGTCACGAAACTTTTTCCCCCACCCACTCTCCATCATGAAACATTCTAACAATTAACTATATGCATTGAAAGTTATATTACTATGATTGCTTATTGTACTTATTATTTACCAACTAGTATAGTAAAACCATTCCATAACATAAATATTCAGTAAGATAATTATTACAAGACGAATGAAATGACCAGAGTCTACAATTAGCCAAATGGAGGAGGTAGGGGTTTGGGGAGCCAAATCCCATCTGCGTTATATCTAAGCTCACATTATCTAGGGTCCATTATCATGAACCTTTTCCTGTATTTCAAACACCAAATCTCAGTCATTACTGCATAATTGATAAAGATGGAGTGGGGAGACATTATAGGAAATAAATTTTATTACAATAAACCAGTGCTTTCTAAACTTTTTAAAACATTTAAGTGTGGCTGGGCACGGTGGCTCACGCCTATAATCCCAGCACTTTGGGAGGCCAAGGTGAGAGGATTGCCTGAGTCCATGGATTCGAGACCAGCCCTAACAACTTGGTGAGACCTCATCTCTACAATAAATCAAAAAATTAGCCGGGCATGGTGGCACGTGCCTGTAGTTCCAGTTACTTGGAAGGCGAGGTGGAAGGCGACAGAGAGACTCCAATTCAAAAAACAACAAAAAAAAACCCCCAAAATATTTAAGTGTGCGCAGAGAGAGACAGTGCATAAGGAGCCAAGTGCTATAATCTATATTCAAGGTCCTGGTGTTGTTCAGTAAAAGCATTAAGAAAACACAGAAGGCATCTTGTACCCGAAAAATACTTCAGTAACTGATTAAAAGACAGCCAATAGATAGATCTTGAGGGTATCTGGATGGGAGAGACCCAGATGGGAAAATGGGATCAAACAAGGCCTTCAAGAGACAGAAAGGGAAGAAATCAAGAACGTAACTAAATTGGCCTAGGGCAGGAGGGCAAACAACTTTTCTTCAGAAAAAAATCATACTATTTGAAGACAGACCTAAAGAGGGAGCCAGGCATGGTGGCTCATGCCTGTAATTCCAGTGCTTTGGGAGGCTGAGGTGGGAGGACTGCTGAAGCCCAGGAGTTTGAGACCAGTCTAGGTAAAAGAGTGAGACTATTTCTCCCAAGAAAAAAAAAAAATTTTTCTGGGCATGGTGGTGTAGGCCTATAGTTCGTTACTTGGGAAGCTGAGGCAGAAGGATTACCTGAGCCCAGGTCAAGGGTTCAGCGAACTGTGATCATACCACTGCCCTCCAGCCTGGGCGACAGAGTGAGAGACTCAGGTGATGTTAGATTGATAAATTTGAAATCTGCACTAGGAAGATTAGGTATAAAATAAAGGGGTTACTGAGGCTGTGATACATAAACCTGCAATAGCTACAACAGTAGCTCTGAAATGTTTCCTGCAGCACTGAGCAACATGAGAGGAGAAAAGAACTGGATGGTTTGATTCATTCAGGATTGGGAACTATTAATAGTAAGATTAGAGTGATCAAGGAAAGGAGAAAAGTAATCTGAGAGAGAATGCTCTTAAAGTCTCCCTAAGTGAACGACTACAGGGAACATGCCAGGTAGAGAAGAAAGTAAAACAAGAAGTTGACAGAGTGGAACAGAGAAGAGCTGATGGTTTTAAGATCTTGTTGAGGTCAGAAAGTGATTTATGGCAACAAAACTGGCATTCATTCTTCTGTATTAACAGCTATGACTATAAAGAGTTTTGATAAAAGGACTCTGTTAAAAGTCCCCAATTCAAGTGCTAAGCATTTCTGTCACTGACAAAGGCAGATAAAAATGGCAAAAAGAATCATGAATAGCACCAGGCTGAAATTAATCTGATTAGTCAAGGAATCAATCTATTTAAGCAATCTTCATACTTAAATTAGATACTTTAATTTCTGTTTTATATTGTATTAGATTTTAAAAAATAATCATGTTAAAAAAAGTCAAATTTCCATACAGTAGCACATATACCCATGATTTTAAGAAGAGGTTTCCTTATCACTGTCAAAATGGAAGATTTAAATTGTTTTAAAAGTTAGTAAAGCCAGCATTCAAGTTTTCAAAAAGATTTAGTTTGAATGCTTGGGTAAGAATTTCTCATACAAGTATATGGCAATTAGATCCTAGATAACATACTACAGAATCAAGCAAGCCAAATATTTCTAAGTAAAACATAAACTTTCAACTTGGGATGTCAACAATTCTAATAATGAAACCAGGGTCTTTTTGTTTTGTTTTCTACCTCTTGGGTCCAGTGGCTTGGGTCTGGAAATTACACAAAAGGGATATCAGGGTCAGGTTTAAGGCACTAAAAAGCTAATTAGTGCGTGATAGAGAACCTTTGGCTACTTTTCGGTCAGGCACTCTCAGGTTAACATTTGTTTCCTTTAGTTGAAGACATTAAGGATGCCTACACCCTTTCCACTCAAGCACCTATTGCCTTTAAGGAGGGTAATGATGTGGGAAGGAAGAAAAAGGACATTTCCCCCTGCTTTTTTACTTCAGATAAGCAAACAGCCTCTTAAAGACTTTTACTACCAATAATGGAGAAATATAGCAAGGTTCAAAGGCTTCCTCCTAAGATATTCTCTATACTTTTTTTCCCCCTTCCGGATTGGAAATAAAAGCTACACCCAGATACTAATCAGTCTGGGGCACACAAATATTATACCACAAGGAGAAAAAAATTAGACTAGCATGTAAATTTAATTAAGTAGAGACTCCTTGGTTAAAAAGCAGAAATTGTGGGATGGAGAAAGAAAAAAGAAAAAAGTTCAGAATGCTTTGTTTACCACTATAAGCCTTTTCACAGAAGATTTTGGTGAGGGGGTTTCCAGGTAGGATCCTGAGATATTCTTAGCAGCAGCATTTAGAAAAAAAGATTTGTGGTCTTTGGACCAGCTAGCTAAAAGAAACTGCCTTGGAATTGTCCATATAGTTAGGAAGTATCTGGATAAAAATTCCTGGAAGCTAAAGTCTTTATTACTGACAAAATCAACAGGACAGTCATGATAGTAGGGCAGAGTTGGTCACAGGGTCCTGCCACAGCAATTTCTGACATTCAGATTAGACCTTATGTATATGTGGGTCCTTTTGATTCCTTCAACTTTGTGATTATCTGTACAGAGGGGTTTCTAAATGGAGAAAAACTCACATCACCCATATTTACTCAGTTTCTGGAGAATAACAGTTTGGATCAAATTTTTAAAAAGGTGATAGGCAAAGAGCTGGAAAAAAAAAAGCTAAAATAAGCTATCAGATCCAATCACGAATGGTTAAATATTATTCATTTTCTTCTTTAAACATCTTACTTAAGTGCTGTATTAGGGCTACTAGCTCAGGGTTCCCACCACGTGCATCAATTTGTTTATAGGCTTTAGATTCAAGCTCTTTAAGAGTATTACGAGTGTATTCAAAAGAACCTACATCCTCAAGATAATGTACACAGTATTTTTTAATATCTGTGTTTTCTGTTCTTTGGCGCAAGATATTCTGCACCTGGGTGCTTTCAGGCCTTGACCAAATAGCATGAATAGTAGGAAATGAGAACTTTCCCTCTGTCAGATCTTCACAAAAACTTTTGTTTTCACTATATTCTTTGGAGTGTAGATTAGCATAATCATCCCTAATTTGGAAAAAGAGCCCAAGTGTATTAAGTAGTGGCTTTAAATCTTCTTTGTAATCAGAAAACAACTGCATGAGACCTACTGCCAATCCAAACAGTCCACCTGTCTTTTGCAGCACCATAGCTTTATATTCTTCTTCAGTGGGACAAGTATAGTTATCTCTCCAGTAAATATCTAGGCCTTGTCCCTGATGGAGTTCCAAAAGTTGACGGGTAAAAAGCTTTACTGCATCTGGGTGATCAAGGGTTAAGACTTTCTCTAAGCCAAGGAAGTATACATAATTGGCAGAATTGATGACAGAAGGAATTCCATAGATGCTGTGTGCCACTGGAAAGCCACGTCGAAGTTTTGAGTTGTCTTCAATATCATCGATGAGTAAACTGGCATTATGCAACATTTCTGTCACTTCAATGATAATCTAATAAGAAAGAATGGAATACTTTACTTCATTTGAGCTATTCAAAACAGCTTATGCTTAATTATATCAACAGATTAAAGTCTCAGATGTCTTAATTTTTATACTAATAATTATTTAGAAACTGCAATATAAAAAAGATATTGCATGAGCATTAAATTCAATCAAAAACTACATGGTAGCAATTCATCTCTTGGGAATTAAGAATGAGATTAGAAGCCGGGCTCAGTGGCTCACGCCTGTAATCCCAGCACTTTGGGAGGTGAGAGGATAGTCTGGCCTAGGGGTTCGAGACCAGTCTGGGCAACTTGGCCCAGGCCTCATCTCTGCAATAAATCAAAAAATTATCTGGGCATGGTGGCACATGCCTGTGGTTCCAGCTACTTGTAAGGTTGAGGTGGAAGGATCACCTGAGCCCAGCAGGTCGAGGCTGTGGTGGCCGTGAGTGTGCCACTGCACTCCAGCCTGGGTGATAGCGTGAGACTCTGACTTGAAAAAAAAAAAGAATGGAATTGCCTACATAGGCCAGGTGCAGTAGCTCACATTTGTAATCTCAACACTTTGGGAGGCTGAGGTGGGAGGATCACTTGAACCCGGGAGCTTGAGATCAGCCTAGGCAACACAGTGAGACCTAGTCTCTTAAAAAAAAAATTAGCCAGTCATGGTGGAATGCTGGTTGAAGCTGCAGTGAGCCATAATCTTGCCACTGTACGCCAGCCTGGGCAATAGAGTGAGGTCTTGACTTGGGGGGGGCAGGAGCATTGCCCAAATACCTGCAGTTTGTCATCTGGAACTTTCAGCCAATGATTAAATGCCTGTGAAAGTTTGGTTCTCACTTGTTTACCTGCAATTTAAGAATAAAATTTGACAAAAGAGTAAATATTTTAATTACAAGAAACATTTTCCGAACTTCCTTCAAAACTAATCAGACTTGATAAATCCAGCCCCATCAATCTATTACCTACTCTAGAATTTGCCTTCCACGGTTCAACACTCCACTTCAAATCATTGGAAATCCACATCCTAAAGTGCACAACCTTTTAAGATTAGGGCAGGCATGAGAGATTCTAAAGCACTTCAGTGGCCTACTAATACTCCTTTCATCTTAACTTGAGTCAACAATTTTGTAGTAGGATGAACTTTTAGGAATTATGGTCTAATTTGTAACTTTTTTTTTTTTGAGTTGAAGTCTCACTCTGTTGCCTAGACTAGAGTGCAGTGGCCGCTCCCGGTCACCGAAGCCTTGACCTGCTGGGCTCCGGCGATGCTTCCGCCTCAGCCTTCCGCGTAGCTGGAACTACAGGCGCGCGTTACCACACCTGGCTAATTTTTTTGATAATTTATTGTAGAGATGAGGTCTCGCCAAGTTGCCCAGGCGGGTCTCGAACCCACGGGCTCAGGCAATACACTTGGCTCAGCTTCCCAAAGTGCTAGGATTACAGAGGCTGAGCTACCAAGCCCGGCCTGCAACTTTTTTTTTTGAGTTGGGGTCTCACTCTGTCACCCAGGTTGGAGTGCAGTGTCACCAGCATTGGTCTCCTGGGTTCAGGCGATCCTTCTACCTCAGCTTCCTAAGTAGCTGGGACTACAGGCACATATCACCACACCTAGCTAATGCTAATTTTTTTTTTTTTTTTGGTAGAGACAAGGTCTCCCTATGTTGCCTACGCTGGTCTCAAACTCCTGGGCTCAAGCAATCTTCTTTTCTGGGCCTCTCAAAGTGCTGGGATTATAGGCATGAGCCACCATGCTTGGCCAATTTCTTTTTTTGAAAAGGAAGCTAGTCTAGTTGGTGGCAGTTAATTCGCATTATAAATTTTACAGAAGTATAAGTAAAAAATTTACTTTACTATGGAATTATTTCATAATATAACTTCTTAGGTCAGGCACAGTGGCTCACGCCTGTAATCCCAGCACTTTAGGAAGCCAAGGCGAGAGAGCTGTCTGAGCCCAGGGGTTCGAGACCAGCCTGGGCAACTTGGTGAGACCTTGTCTCTACAATTAATTAAAATATTAGCTGGGCATGGTGGCACACGCCTGTAGTTCCAGCTACTTGGAAGGCTGAGGTGGAAGGATCACCTGAGACCAGCAGGTTGAGGTTGTGGTGGTCGTGAGTGTTCCACTGTACTCAAGTCTGGGCAACAGAGTGAGACTCAGAATTTAAAACAAAAATTACTTCTTAAAATTATCTACCACTCCTTTAAATTAAAGTTTTAGATATGGGACAGCTCTGCTTCTTTCCTATCACAAATGAGATTATCGGTTGGTTTTGGTGGCTCAGTTTGTAATCCCAGCACTTTGGGAGGCTGAGGCGAGTGGATTGTCTGAGCCCACGGGTTCAAGACCTACCCAGGCAACTTGGCCAAACCTCGTCTCTACAATAAATCAAAAATTAGCTGGATGTGGTAGCGCGTGCCTGCAGTTCTGGCTACTTGGAAGGCTGAGGCGGAAGAATCGCCGGATCCCAGCAGGTAGAGGTTGCGGTGGCCAGAAGTGTGCCACTGCACTCCAGTCTGAGTGACAGAGTGAGACTCCAACTCAAAAAAAAATTAGATTGCCATCAGGCACAGGCTCTCACCTATAATCCCAGCACTTTGGGAGGTCAAGGATTGCTTGAGCCCAGGAGTTCAAGACCAGGCGTTCAAGATCAGACTGGGCACACAGCAAGATCTTGTCTCTATAGAAATTAAAAAACCTAGCCAGGCATGGTGGTGTGTGCCTACAGTCCCAGCTATTGGGAGGCTGATGCGGAAGCACTGCCTGAGCCCCGAAGGTTGAGGCTGTGGTGAGCTGTGATTGTGCCACTGCACTGTAGCCTCTAGCCTGTGTGACAAAGTGAGACTCCAACTCAAAAAAAAAAAAAGAGCTGGGCTCGGTGGCTCAGCCTGTAATCCCGCACCTTTGGGAGGCTGAGGTGAGTGGATTGCCTTGAGCCCGCGGGTTTGAGACCCGCCTGGGCAGGCGAGACCTCATCTCTATAATAAATCAAAAAACAAAAAAACCCCCCAAAAACAAAAACAAACAAACCAAAACCAAAACCAAAACCAAAACCAAACCAAAACAAAAAAATTAGCCGGGCATGGTAGCGCGCGCCTGTAATTCCGGCTACTCGGAAGGCTGA